TCACCCGTGTGCACGTTCATTTGAAACTCTGAGTCGGTCTGCCAGTGTCTCATTTTCTATCCTACTTGTGTTTGAACAAATGTCAACCCCTGACAAATAATCAACAAAATAAAACTAAAATGTCTTGGTACTGGGTCGCACCGTGACATTTTTCTTCCTGTGCAATCGACTGGAAGGGAGAAAATGGAGCACTACAGCAATACAGCTTTTGAGGAGCGGAGATGTGGATGTTACTTTTATTTTTATTGCACAACAGGACAAGATCGTGACAGTAAAATTGGACAGAAGCTGCTAACACAGCTTTGGTCTTTGCAAGTGTCTGCACAGACAGCATGCTAACGCTAAGCTAGCCAAGAAGCCAGACTGGTGTTAGAGCTGAGCGCACGCAGACCCGAGCCCGCAGCCTGAGCGACGAGCACGCAGCCTCCGTTTCTACCTGTTCGTGTTTGTAGAGTCGTCTGCTGGTTTTCAACTTTGCTTTGTGCGTTTTAAGTTCAGACGTAAACACTAAGGCAAAGATGTGAATCAGGCGGCTGGTGTGGATATTGATGCAGTGCTATAGCAGCGGATTTCAGAGCGAATGGTTAGTATTTAAAATGCATGTGTTTGTCCCAGGCAGTAAAAACATGAAAGTGCTGAAGTATCATTTGATTTTTGTGTTTTACTCGAACGCATGCATTTCACCAGAAATTACATTTCTGTTGCAGGGGAGGACTGCAAGACCGTCCACAGAACCACGCGGGCCTGGTTCTAATCTAGGACCACATGAACACTGACATGTGATGAGGAGCTACAGACACAGAGCTCTTCATTGGGAGCCTTCTGTGTTTCAGGTTGCTGGAAACTGACTGAAACTAAATCCTGTATTTGCAGATGCTTTTTATGTTTTCCTTTTGAACACTGGAGCAGCTTTTTCTGCACTTTTTAATGTGAGAAAACCACTTTTGACTTGTTTGTTTGCATTTTCTCTCACAATGTTCCCAATGTGAGAGAAAATCAAACAGCAAACTCGAAGGGCTCAGAACTAAAACCGATAGTTATCTGCAGGAAACTCCTCATTATGGATTTGTTGCAGTAACATCCTGGAGAAAGCCGGAGCTAAAGCTAATTATGTAATTACTTCCTGTCACAACTTAAACTAAGCAACAACAGATGAAAACCACAGAGGATCAGAGACGACCCAACATCAGCTTCAGCCACCAATAAAACTCCACAATCAGCTCCCAAACCAACAAACGTCACCGCAGCAGTGGAGGAGGTGAATCCCTCTGAGGCGAGATTAAAGCACCAAAGAAGAAGAACAAAGATTCGAGCATCTGTGATGAAATGTTAATTAAACACTGAAGGTTTCACAGCTTATTTCAGGTGTCAGTGAATGTGTGCAGTGAATCAGCTGCGAGGTGCAAGGAGAAACCAAACAGATGTCACATGTTTACGAACACTCATGGCCAACGATAGAAGTGACGAGACTATGGCCTGTATTTGTATAGCGCTAGAGTATCAGGAGGCAGCCTGGGATCAAACCACCGACCTTCTGACGAGTGGCTGCCCTGCTCTGCCACCTGAGCCACAGCCAGAAATTAGAAAATATATTCCGTTTTTTAAATTAAACTGACTTTTCTTCTTCTTTATTAAACGTTTAAGCAGGATTTTAAACATAAATCACTACCTGGCAGAGAGTCGGCGCTTGGCTCAAGGACACTTCAGCTGGATGACGGGTGGTCAGGAGACTCTGATGATCCTGGATCGCAAAAACAAACAAAGAAGAGTCAGCATCAGCAACCAGCAGCTTCACCCGTAGCGCTGCCTCGACATGCCAAACGCTCACTCGCAGGAGGAACTCTGGGTTTATCTAATTAACCTCGTTTTGTTTAGACATCTGTTCAATGAGGCGCTGCAGCTGCACGCAGAGCTGTGTCTACAACACATTTCATGCAGTTAACAGCTTGACTTCAGATTTGGTTTCCGCTTTGGTCAAAGGGCCATCTAACGTGTAACTTCAGACAAAGCTGTGAGATCAGCTGATCTCGTTTCCAGATGTCATTAGCTGATGAATTTCGTCGGATTCAGTTTGAAAGATTTTTGCTGGATGTTACATCAAAGCTGCTTTCCCCTGCGTACAGTTGCTGCACAGCTGCAAACCACCTTTTATGCTGTGTCAGACTGATGTTGCGCTGTTCTGGGATTAAAGCCGCCCCGTTTGAAGTGCAGGTATTCCCTCATGTTCTGTCAAAGGAAACCATTGCTAATTTACATGTGTGGGAAGCTACAAATGTTCAGATTGTAAGGCAAACAAATCAAAAACAAAACAGCGTTTGGTTTCCTCGTCTTGATGTGGTCGACTCTGAGCTTTATTTGAAGTGCCAGTACACTTTCCTCTGTCATTTTAAAGTACAGACAGTGTCACGTGTCTGTTGTTCTAGTAACAGCACAGTCACAGAAACTGTAGAGCAGCTGAAGTCCGTTACACTTAGGGTTAGGGCAGAGCGGTTTACCAAAAGGACTTCACAGGTGTTCCTGTGGTTTGCAGCAGGTGCGCTAATGAAACATTAGCAGAGAAGACGTAGCAGCTGGACCTCTGGGTCCTGTTTCAAATCACAACAACAGTTGCTTTATATTGTGAGGTTGACTCAACAATCATATGACCCCCTATGAGCAAGCATTTTGGCGACAGTGGGAAGGAAAAACTCCCTTTTTCCGACAGAATCAGGGTCGGGGAGGGGCGGGGCCATAACATGGCTGCTGTGAAGTCACTGTGCTAACAGACCATCCAAGAAGGCGGAGCTCCGGTTTTGCAGAGTAAAAATCGGAACACTAATCAGCAGGAACCTGTTTTTGTGTGACGCTCCCAGCTTGAGAATTAAGCTACACAGCAAAATCTCCAGTGTTAAATTAACACTGGAGTGTCTATATGGGTCCACTCCTCTGAGTGTTAAATACAACACTGTTGAGTGTTAAATTAACACTTTTGACAGTGTTATATGTTTAAAAGTAACCCAGTCAGTTTTGAAGATTAACAAAGGCTAACACTGAGCAGTGCTGATCTTCTAACACTGGAAAATAACTCAAGGTGTTAGAAATATTCCCGTGTGATGTTCCAGCTCACATCCAATGCTGGTATATGACAAGAAGTCATGAAAAGCACACTAGGTCCACTTTGTCTCTTTGGTGGACGTTCATGTTAAACATGACTGTTTCCAACACTGAGCTCAGTGCTTGCATTCTGTTTCATGGCACAGAAGCCACACCCACCTCAAGCCCTCTGTTTTTCAGGGGCAGCCAATCAGAAGAAAGGTGAGAACAGCTGTAGCCCAGTGTGAGATAAAGAAGGCTCATTTTGGACAGCTAATCATGCAAAGCTGCTGAGTCCTAGAATCAAAGTACAGATTATGGCGCACTGACGAGATTTCCATTCATGTGAGGATGAATCCATCAGACGGGGCACTGCATAACCACTTTTCAGTTTTTGCTTCACCTTCCAAAGCTGCTGCTGATCCATCAGTCTCACATGTGTACACAGAAAATACACAAAACCAAAGGCGCTTCCTGCTGCGAGGCCAGCGTCCTGCTCGAGAGCAGATAAACAGGAAAAAATAAATCAGATGTGAGCGGAGGAGTGGCGTGTCTGCGGGGACGTCTCCGCTTCCCCCAAACACACTCAACATGTGCACGAAAGCCTCCATCGCACCTGCTCGGCTCATCTGCTCTCAGGCGACTGCCGGGACGACGAGGTCTTTCCTAATTTGGCATCTCGATGTATGCTCCAGGACAAACTGTCATCGGTGCCTCTCGAACTGTCGCTGAGTTTGTACCTGGAGCTTTTTTTAGATTCTAATTATTTAAAGCAGCAGAAAATTAAAGAACACAACATGTCTGTATGTTCGTGCCATCAGCTGATGCTCTGTGAATATAACACAGGCCAGATGCAAAAACTGAGCCAGCGAGAGTCACATCCTCCCATCATAACAGAGCAGAGCCTGATGCACAAGTTTCAGCTCAGAACATCAGCAGATGTTAAAAAGACTCCAAAGGTCCATGTCCTCCAGTAAGAAACTCGCTCACGGTTTCTGTTCATGCGCCAAAACTAAAGCATTATGAGACCCTGGCGGCGGCGGCTGCTGGGTTCATGTTTCCCAGAATAAAACAATGAAAGTTGGACAGACTCAACTATGGTGAAAACTCCCACTTCATAATCCCTCCAAGTGGGATGATTACACGTACAAGTATGATTGTGTTTCTTTAGTGAGACAGTGAATGTGCCTCACACCGTGTCACATGATGCAGTGGGAGGCATTCGTGAATCATGACCAGCTGACAAACTGATTTAGTTTCGAGAACACTCAGGAGCTCAGTTCAGACCCGGGCCCAGCCTGCTCCCCGTACAGGTCTCGTTTTACTATCAAACACATGCATCAATGTAAATATCACCATATCACGTTAAATTTTATAATTATTTTAAATTCAAAATAGAGTATTTAAAAGTAGAATGGGAGGCAGAGCCTTCAGTTTTCAGGCCCCTCTTCTGTGGAACCAGCTTCCAGTTTGGATTCAGGTGACAGACACCGTCTCCACAGCCTCCACTTTCTACTGCTAGTGACCACACAGGTCGTCTGACGGGAGGAAAGCTGTCCTTAAACCCAAGCTGTTCAGCTCAGATTGGATCGTTCTGCAGAGGCTACGTCACTGTTTGTGGAGGAATTTCTGAATTTGTGCTGCTTATCACAGCCCACCGAGACGAGAGCACACACACACACACACACACACACACACACACACACACACACACACACACACACACACAGGAGGAGGGGTCTGATTCTAATCTCATGATCTGATTGGTCCCTGCCTTCACAAACTTTCCCTGCTAATGACTTTACATCTAGAAATG